CTAAAGTCTCAAATCCAAAAAGATATTCTTTATAAAATTTAAGTCAACCACGCCTACCTAAAACGGCTCATTCTAACACGCCCCCACATGTCTACGTCACAATGTGGGAAGATTTGCATAACGCCGCCCAAATGTTCACGCAAAGAAAGAAGGTGCAACATTTATTCTCGCTGTAGTATTGTTGCTGTCGCCGCCGCCGCCATGTCGTGAAGGCGCTGTGTGTTTCGTTGTGAAAGCGAAACTACTTTGTTTGGCCTTCCAAAAGAGGACGATATCCGCTTCGTCATGCCTAGAGCTGATCCGTGCTGGTCGCTGAGGAAATACATAAACTTCGTGCTGTGGATCGCCGGATTGGCTTTCACCATGGACGAAACGGAGTCCAGCCCGGGGTCATCACATGTGGTTGCCGCAAGCCCGCCGGACGCTCCTTCGTCGAATCCGCCGGCCACGCCGTTCTCAAGCCCGACTGCCTCTGCTCACTCTAGCCGGCCTCCGCTCACTCGAGCCCGCCGTGTGTTTCGTTGTGAAAGCGAAACTACTTTGTTTGGCCCTCCAAAAGAGGACACGACTAGAAATCAGTGGTTAAGTTGTATTTACAACACTGTTCCAGAACAGTACAACCCAAATATTCAGATGTGTCCAGCGCATTTTATGGAGGACTGTTTCCTGATCCTGGAAGAGTAGACTACAATGCCGGCTGTTCTGACTCACAGACTGTGGTACGTTTTTTATATTTAAAGAATTTGCCACTGACGATTCAAACGCCAGTTTTGAGCAGTGTAGAGTAGCACTTGTTGTTTGTCATTTCTCCGATCACAAATGCAGACATGATTTTATGTTTACGCGGCGCGATGCAATGCAATGCGTAAAAAGACAGTATAAGCCATTATAATCAGTAATTATGTCCCCACTGGATGCAACAAATGCCTCATTTATAATGGGTTTTAATATTTTTGTCTCATCGCTCTGGCCGGACAGTGCATCACAGTATGGTAAGGGGCGTAACATTTCCGTCAAACGCTTGAGGTATTCGGCCAATCACAATGAACTGGATAGCTGGCCAATCAGAGCACACCTCGCTTTTCAGACCGATGAGCTTTGTAAAAATCGATGCGTTTCAGAAAGGCGGGGCATAGAGGAGAAACAATAATGTACAGTATGTGGAAAATAATGTGTTTTTTGAACCTTAAACAGCATAAACACATTTCATTTTACCAAATACACAAAATAATGTTCTTTTTAGCAACATCATATGACCCCTTTAAAATAAACCTTCAACCCTCTCTCAATGTACCATAGTAAATCTGTTGTAGTTAAACTTGTCCACATGGTTTTATGTTAATATTATTGAAAATAACAGATCATTTAGTGTTACATGTTCTTTGTTGTTTATTCTAAATAAAGAAGTATGTTCATTAATGTACAGATATGTTGTATTCTAAGTTTCTATTTTTATAATTTATATATGATGAAGATAAATGGACATTTGTGTTTCAAACATTTATTGAAGGTGTTTGTGTGAATGGCTGTATGTGTGAATGCCTTGTGATGATGCTCTTTGGAATAAAATAAAAACTACCTCTCAAAACAGTGTTTGGTGATCATTTTTAAACAGTTAAAAACTATTGCGGATGTTAACACACACACACACACGTTTGTTTCTGTGAATTGTGGGGACTTTCCATAGACTTCTATTATTTTTATACTGACCAAACGATATTTTCTATCCCAACCCACTAATTCTCAAAGTGTGGTACGCGGGCTCCCTCTAGTGGTACGCAGAGGAATCACTGAATTAAATATATATTCATGTTAAAACACTTTTAAAAAGTTTGCAAGGTCGCTAAATGATGTCTGTGTTAATTATTTTTTTTGATCAAGTACTGTACATATTTTACTTTACATTTAAGTACAGTACAGTTTTTTTACTTTCTAAGTACAGTACAGTTTTTATTTAACTTTTAGGTACAGTAGGGTATATTTTAATTTAATCATTTAAGTTTTTTATTTACCTGTATGTAAGCACAGTGCAGTGTTAATGTTCAAACTGTATTTACAATGTTTAAAGTGGCCGACAATAATAAATATTCTTATTAGGAATAAAACGGTCTCGTTTTTGAGCTGTGCATAGCTGTAGCTGAATAATTAGTGACAGTGAAAGTGAAAGTGACGCAAAAGTGTGAAAGTGACGTGACATGTGGCCAAGTATGGTGACCATACTTGGAATTAGTGCTACTGTATTTTAATGTTGGTCATAATGGTGGTACTTGGTGTAAAAAGTTTGAGAACCACTGCCCTAACCCAACACTAACCGTACACCTACCCTTTACAGAAAACAGGGTTTCTGCAGACATGAACAAGTTAAATTTAAGACTTTTTAAGACCTTTTTAATACCACCTTATATGAAATTTAAGACCTAAACCTGTAATGGAAATACACATTTTATTACATACA